TCGCACTGCAGAGAGCCCGGAGACACTCTCAACAGTGGCACCGCTGAAGGAACTCTTAATGTTTCCATTTCGACGGCCGGTAATATTTCCGCCGCCTGTTTCGCCACTGCGCCATTAATTAACGGTTTTACTCTAATGGCGGCGGAGGATGTTTTGACAGTGTCATTGGTAGTAAATTTGGAGCGGAGGAGAGTTACTTGCGCAGGGACAAAACGGAGAACTTCCATTTTAACGGGAAGAGGAGAATAGGGCTCGCTGGTATTTATATGAAAAGGAAATGGTTTTCGGGTGAGTGTAGAGTTACAGGACGGTGAAGAAAGTAGTTCACTCTGGATGGCCTCAAAAGGCAGAGAACCGCGCTCAGGTCGGATTTGGGATTAAAATCAGATTTTAATTTAAATTAAAGTTAAATGAATAATATTAATTATATTTTTACGAGTTTCACAATTTTTCAACAACACATTTCAAAAATTTCTATCACAATTTATTAAAAATTTAATTTTAATCCTCACCAAACACTCGCTCAATCCTGTAAGGTTTCATCCTTCAATTATTGGAAGAATATATCCCAATTGTTTTTCATTACAATTTTTCATATTCATCATACTTTAAAATGTGATATAATAAACATCAATTATATCTTGACTAGAACAACACATTTACCTAAGGTAACTTCAAATTTAGATAATTTTTCGAGAAAAATCATCGGCATGTAGAAATCATCTTAAATATTTTATCCTCCAGTGAGAAGTACTTGTAATTTTAACGTCCAAGTTAATATTTCTCGATTGCCTGGATGCTCCATGTGTATAACTCCGTTTCATGCGGATTAAAATCATATTTTTAGTAGATTATCATAAAAGTTGATAAAATACGTTGTTTAAAAAGTCGTGGGACTCATAAAATTTGTGATTAAAATTAGTTGTTGATTTTGATTTATATTAAAATTTGAATTTTTAAGTGCCAACTGCTTCTAATGGCTTGCTATTAGTAAATAGTAATGATGATTGTTAGTTAATTTAAAATCACGTGTGTGATTCCCACATGCACGTGCTATCTTTGTTCTAAAAGAACCCATTTTTTCCCACCGTCCAGTCCCTTCTTTGTCATTCCCATGCATTTCATGATGAATAATTCCTGGTGTATAGGAATTATTTTCACTGTAGCGCAGATCCCACTCAAAGTATTTAAGTATGTATATGTGTGTACGTGTATGAACCCCTTGTGTCTAACTTGGCAGGGGCCTGTGAAGCAACCTTGTAATGCAAGCTGCAAGCATTGCTCATAATTTTATGAGTTCTGCTATAGGAACCGCGGGGATGACCGCACACACACATGGGAGGTTGTGATTATTTTATTCGGGTGGGACCCGCCTCGGCTGTGAGGGCTCAGCCATCCTCGCGATCATCCATGCTGGTCCTCTTGCATTTTTCTAATTTCATAACTTTTTATGTATCAAATCTCACTATTAATTATTTTTTGAACGGTACAACGTTGAGAGTCAGCTAAACAAGTGGGTCCGAATCCTTGTTGCTAGTCAAACTCTATTGAATTGAATTGACCGACTTGGCAAAATTATTTATTTATTATTTAATTATGTGATTCATATTCTTTCAAAACTTATTTTCAATCACATATTTTTCAATAAAATAATATTTTTCATCATATGCAAAAGTTTTCTTTATTTTTTCACTACAAATTTTACATCGCGTCACTATTTAAAATACATTATTTCATCAATAATGTGTATGAAACACACCTCAATTGCTTTTATAGATTAAGGGTGAGCCACATTATTTTGGAAGAATGCATTTTGAAATAGTAAATTGATGGAGAATGTGTGGTTGAAAAAGAATGAAAAATTATTGATATGATGAAAAATATTATTTTATTGAAAAATGTGTTGTTGAAACTTGAAAATGAGTAAAAGAATGAGAATAAAAATTTTAATATAACTCAAACATGGGCTAATATATTCTCTNGTGGTTAAAAAGAAGGAAAAGTTATTGATGTGATGAAAAATATTATTTTATTGAAAAACGTGTGGTTGAAAATGAGTAGAAGAATGAGAATAAAAATTTTAATGTGACTCAAACATATGCTAAAAGTAATACTATATTACTATTGACAAAATATATGCTCCGTTTGGCCCTCATTATTTGTCATTTTAATATTTAGAACATGTTTGAGTTCCATTTTTTTTAAGAATGCATTTTGGAATCGTAAATTGATGGAAAATGTGTGGTTGAAAAATAAGAAAAAAATTTGGATTTATGTGTAATATTATTTTATTGAAAATGTTTGATTTAAAAGAATAAAGAGGAAAATGTATTTTGAAAATAATGAGAATCAAACAAGGAATTAAAATAGTTTTTTTTTTTTTAAAGAATATAAGGTTAAAAAAGATGAATTTTTTTTTTTACGTGTAAAATTATTTTATTGGATGATATGTGGTTGATAAAAAAAGAGAAAAATGAATTACAATTTTAATGGGGTCGTATGCTTAATTCAATAAAAAATTGATTTAGTTAATATTTGGTATATTTTCTAGAAGGAAGGAAGGATATATTGTATTTTAATTGCTTCTCTAAGTACTTTATAGTTAAATAGTGAATAGCTTATTTAATTTATTCTCTAGAAGTATTATACAAAAACACGAGAGTCAATTGTTATTATTAATTAAAGTCAATTAGATAATAATACAAATATTCCCCCCATTATTGTTATTGATTAAAGTCAAAGTATAGGCATAAATATTAAATAACGGAGCATTAAGAGTGTATCTAGACCCCATTATATTTTGGGAACGAGCCGTTCGTACAACATTGACGGTTTAAATATCATCTCAAAGTGGAATGTTACAAAATTATAATTCACTTATTTAAATGAAAAAATCAATTGAAATCGATCTAATTCACGTGGTAGTATCAAAATGAATTGAACTATCGCAGCCAAGTATGACACACATTCTTTTAAAATTTCATAATGAAAGTTACACAAAACCAGATTTTTTAAGTTACAAATTACAATTTCAAAAATCGAATATAAAGTTTGTTTATAAAAAAATCAGATGATAATTCAATATTAATAATATTATAAAATTAAATTAATCTATATACCCATCATACTTTCATTCACCCCTCCAAATTTAACTTTCAAA